TCTGTGGAACTTTTTTTCTTTTAATTCATGATTACTATAAAATGTAAGCAGAAATTTCTTGTGTCAGAAAGAATTCTGATTAGCAAGGGGAATCCTGATCTTCTGGACATCTCTTCAAGCATAAGTCCTTGTGTACCTCATCTTCATTCTGTCAATAAGCAATTATTAAGCTTTTATTGTGTGACAGGCACTGTGCTAAATTTCGGGAATATAAAGAAATCCAAAAACAGTCTCTGCACACAAGGAGCTCACATTCTAAGGGAAAAGATGGCATGCAAAAAAAGAATTTATATATAAGATGTGTACAGTATAAATGGAAGGCAATTTTAGTGGGAAAGTACTAGCAGTGATGGCGGAAAAGAGGGAGGAAGACCACAAAAGGTTTCTTGTAGAAGGTAGAATTTGAACTGATTTCTGATAGAAGCCAGGGAAATCAAGACATAAAGGTGAAGAGGGAGAGCATTTCAGGTATGTAGGATAGCCAGCAAAGAGTCAGAGAGTCAGGAAATGTCATGTATAAGAAATAGGAAGTAAGGCCATGTAGCTGGATCTTAGAATGCATAGACAAATGAATGAATGCAAGAGGCATTTATTAAGTACTTACTATGTGCAAAGCACTTTATAAAAGGAACCCCAAAGATAAAAATGATTCCAGGAATATCATGGCCAAAACCCAGAGTTTTCACATCATAGGAAAAATTACAAGCATTCAGAAAGAAGCAGTTCAAGTACCAAGAAATTCTAGTCAGGATTACACAAGATCTGGAAGCTTCCACCTAAATGAGAGGGGATCTTGGAATATACTATTTCAAAAGACAAAAAGAGACTTACAATTGAGAATAACTTACTGTGCAAAACTGAGCATAATCCTATAGGGGGAAAATGGCTCTTTAATGGAATAGAGGACACAGGGACAGAACCCTAGGGGACAAGTTGATTGCAAAAGACATTGACTTCTAACTTATACTCATATTGATGGATTGGACCCTCAGAGCATGGCAACTGACTCAAATTATTGGGTTTCCTGTAGGTGGCTACTTCTTATACCATACCTCACAAGCCCACACTAGTGTCCTTCCTCTTAACAATAGGTATGATTAACACACAGCAAATGTATTTACTAATATGGCATAGCAGAAAAGAAACTATACAACAGTACTTCCCCATTCCTCCCCCAGAAACCTGGGGCACGTTACCTCACAAATGCACACAGCATTCATGAGAAGAGTAGGCATAAAATTAGGAGTAAAATGATAGTAGCACATATATAGGGAACACATGTGGCCATGGATACTGGTACTACTCTGGTATTACTGGGCCCTAAAGTCCATTTTCTCCTGTGTGGAGTTCTCACACAGGCACAACATCTCCCCACAGGCACAACATCTCTGCTGCATAGGTTGTTCATCTGCAAACTCCTGATCTATTCCTCTCAACAGCTTGGCTCTCAACTGCCAGGCAAATTCTATCTTGAATCCATAGATAGCTCTTTTCTCTGCTGCCAAAAGTCCTGTTCCTGGAAGTTGTTTCCTTCCTGGGTGACTGCTTATCTATATCTGTGTTTGTTTGAAGTGTGTATCTCTGTTCTCTCAAATGTCTAAAACTCTTTCAAACCAACTCTTCAGATGCTGTATGAGGTGTTTTTCTCTAGGTAAGTAATTCTTTTGTTAGATATAATGGCCAATGGGGTGAGGTGGGGAGGGGAGGAGTGGAGTTTGGATGGAGAGAAAAGAGTTTTCTCTTTTTCCTCAAGAGTTGAGTTCTTTCTTGAGTTCTGGTTCTCTAGCTGTTCTATCTCCAAGGCTATTTAAAGCCTCCAGAATTGTGACCAATTTTTAACCTAGCCATTTGCTCAATCTGAGATACATATTCATTTTTGATTTGTCACCACATTAACACCTCATCATTTGTGATCACATCCCATAATCATATCATTGAAGTGGAGAAGAGAGGTAATGGATAAGAATTTGCCCTCCCTTACACTTGTATACCCCCAAAAAATTTCCAGATTTTTGACTTAAAAAGTTGGTGATAGAGTTTTTCTCTGATCTATTCCTTGCACCTGCAAGAATTGTATCCAGCTAAGCAAAACAAATTAACACATATTGACTAAGTCTGACAACATATGCCTTATTTCACACCTGTAGTCCACTTCTCTGCCAAGAAGGAAGCTTTGCTGTGAATGTCCTGGATTCATGTTTGGTCACTGCATTCATCAGAAGTCAGATATCTTTTAATATTTTTGTTTTCCTTGCATTATTGTGACCATGTAAATTATTCTCCAGTTTCTACTTAATTTGCTATTCATCAGTTCATATGTCTTCCCATGTTTCTTTGAATTCTTATTTGTCATTTCTTATAGCCCAATAATATTCTATTAATTCATATACACCATGATTTATTCAGTCATTCTCCAGTCTATGAACATCTTTGTTTTTATTTTACCCATTTATCTTTTAAATAAAGCTTGTCCCATTAAAGATGGTAGCAGGAGAGAAAAAAGGCAAAAAATGCCTGTAAAATAAAGTATATATGAGCTTATAATAGTAGTAGCTAGCATTTGTATAACATCTACTCCTTGACAGGAACTGTGCTAAGTGCTTTACAAATATTATTACATTTTGTCCTCATAACAACTCTAGGAGGTAAGTGCTATTATTATCTGCATTTCACACTTGAAAAAAACTGAGGCAGACATGTTAAGTGATTTACCAGGGTCAAACAGCTAATAAATTTGATGGCAAGGTCATACTGTTAGTAGTAGTGAGAAATTCTTCTCTCTTTAGACATCAGTTGATGGTAAAAATCTCTTATATGTATATATTACTAGATTGTTTACAAAGCATGTTCATGTCTTCTTCAATGAGTCTTCATAATAATCCTTGGATGTAGACAATGTACACATAGATTCATAGAGTGATCTAGAATAATGGACTCTTAAAGCTGGAAGGGACTTTAGTGATTAATCTAATTCAATCTCATTTTACGAATGAGAAAACTGAGGCCCAGAGATATAAACTGACTTGTCTATAGTCACAAGGCAGAAGTAGCAGAGTCAGAACTAGAAATCCAGGCTCAAGCCCAGGGCTCTTTCCATCACAATACGTGTTTGTTTTTTTCTATTAAGCACTTCAAACTGGATGTCCCAGAGAAATCTTAAACTTAGCATGCCCAAAATATAACTTAGCTTTCTCCCCAAATCCACTCCTCCAATATCTCCATTTCAGTAGAAAGTATCACCATTTTTCTACTGTTCCAGTTTTGTAGTCTTATTGTTCTGAGTTTCTCATTCTCCCAGATATCCACTCAGTTACCGAAACTTCCCCTTTTACTTATATTTGTAATTGTTGTCACCCTCATTTGAACATAAGCTTCATGAAAGCAGGGATCATTTACTTCTTTGTATCCTCTGTTAGGTACAGTGACTAGCACATTGTAAGCCCTTGACAAATGCTTATTTGTTATTTGTTGAATGAATGGACTCCCTATTGTCTCCTTTTTTTTTAAATGGGAGTTATCATAAATTGTTTATCAGGAGACAAAAAGCATGTTTTCCAACACCATCAAGAAATATGGAAACTGAAGGACTGTAGTATCATATATCTTGAAATGGATTATTTCAGGTTTTTTTTGTTTTTAAGTTAGATCCTCATTATTTAGCTTCATTATTTTGTTCATAATGTTGTCATTTTCCAATATATTATTTGCAGTGTTGTAAATTTCCATGATACATTATGGAACAAAATGAAAATGTCTTTTGGATTATTTGTGTATGCCACCATGGATTTCTATCCATTTATTTATGTTTAACCATACTTGTTATTTCATCAGTTTCTTTACGAACGCAAATTGGCACCTTCTCTGCAATGTATACTCTTAGAAAGTTGACTGAGGGTACTAAAAATCTAGGTGACTTGCCCAGAGTCACATAATTATTGTATGTCAGAGGATGGACTGACATAGGTTCTTTATGCATCAGCATACATAATAATAAAGATTCCATTGTCTAAACCATCTATTCTCCCCTTGATCTTTTTTTTTCCTCTCCAAAAGCTTGGCAGACAACTTGAAAAAGAAAGCTGTGGTAGATCTGGGATATGACTTGGCAGAGGTAAGAGAGGGATTGAGGAGAGAAATAGAATTGAGGATCCAATCTTGGAACCTCTGGTTTGGAGGGCAGAGTCATGAGCTCTAAAACCTCCATTTAAGGAGGGGTCCCAGAAGAATCTCATTTCCCACCAGCTGCACTGCTTTTGGACTTCTCTATCATGTCATCAAGCAAGTTGTCTTCTCCCTACTCCACTTTTTCAATTTCCTTTTGTGTATTTTCTTCCCACATTAGATTATAAGCTGCTTGAAGATAAAAGACAGCCTTTTAAAATTTGTTTCCCTAGTGCCTAGCACAGTGCCTGGAACACAGTAGGAGCTTAATAAAAGTTTATCGACTGACTGACTGACCACTAGTCTTGCTTCTGGACCACTTCTCACAGCCATCATTCATCATTCATTCATTTGGACAGAAAGGACCAACTATTGCCATTAACTGCTAACCAACTGACATATAAAGGGCAGGCAAGCCACACTAGCTGAAGTAGCAAAGCAGCCTCCCTTTGAGAAAAACAGGAAGGAAAATGAAACTACCATCATCATTGGTCACCATTTTCCTTCAGACCCAGATGGGGATGGCCCAGGACCCCAAACTCAAGAACCTTGGGAATAACAGGCCACTAGACCTAATTCCAGTGTGGTCCCCACAGCCATTTTCATGAGGAAAAATTGCGTGTGTGTGTGGGGGGGGGAAGGAGTGTGTGGGGGGGGGAAAGGGAGTTCCTTCCTTATCACCACCAACATCTGCTGACCAATTGCCACCAATAGGGAGATAGTCACAGGAGTCCTTCTCTAGCCTCAGATAGGGATATATAGTATGTGTGTATATGTAGAGTATTATATGTATAATACCAATTGCCAACCAACTACTACCTACAGGTATACAAACCTACCTAGCTGAAGCAGCAAGGCATCTTGAGGGAAAACTGTATGTGGCAGGCAAGTCAAACCATCACTAACTGTCTTGACCACCATCTCCCCACAGACGCTGGTAGGTACAGCCAAAGACTCTGAATCCAAGAGCCCTGGGAATAATAACATTAAATAATGACAGTAAAGAAGAGGCATTACCTAATTGATGCCACCCCTGCAATTTCCAGTTCTTAACCACCACAAAGAGAGCTGCCATGAACACTCTAGAACATATAGGTTCTTTTCCTTTTTCCCTGATCATCTTTGGAAACAGACCTAGCAGTGGTATTGCTAGGCCAAAGGGTATAGGCAGTTTAATAACTCTTTGGGCATAATTCTAGACCACTCTGCAAAATGACGGGATGAGTTCACAACTCCACCAACAATGAATTAGTGCCCCAATTTTTCCATATCCCCTCCAACCCTGGGGGAGGGGGAAAGAAAATAAGGGGAAAAAAAGAAAAAAAAGAAATTTGTGTGATAACTTTATTACATTACTTATAATTTATGATATATATTTAAGGGGAATATATATTAATTTATTATACATTTTAAACTATTACATTTAAACTATATATTTAAACTATTATATATTTAAAAAGAATAGCAAGTGGTACTTATGTTATGGAAATGCTTGTTTTATACCATAAATTAAAAATAAAATTTAAAAAATAAGAAGAGGCATTAATATCTGCTTTGCTGCTGCAGTCCAGAGACTATTAAACTTTTCCACCTGAAAACCTTCCATATGTGTTGTCTCCTTCCTTGGAATGTAAACTACTTGATAGCATTTTGTGTGTATTACCAAAGCAACGTGCACATAGTACGCATTTATTAAATGCTTCACTTATTCAATTCATTCATTATGTACTGTGCCATCTAACTGCCTAAATAAACTGTTTCTGGCAGACTTGAATCTAAAAATGCAAAGCAGAGTTTAATTTTTTTTTTCAATAGTCTGGACCTTTGATCTCTATTGTGGGGAATTCCAATTTTGGAAATCCCCCTAATGCTTGCAGGCTGGCAACCTGTGGGCACAAAGAGGTTAAATGACTTATCCATAGTCACAGGGCATCTAAGTGGTGCAGTGGCTAGAGTGCCAGACCTGGGGTCAGGAAGACTCATCTTCCCCAGTTCAAATCTGACCTGACACTTACTAGCTGTGGGACCCTGGGTAAATCACTCAACCCTGTTGGCCTCAGTTTGCCTCATCTATAAAATGAGCTAGAGAAGGAAATGACAAACCACTCTAGTATCTTTGCCAAGAAAATCCCCAAAGGGGTCACGAAGAGTCAGACATGACTGAAACTAAACAACCACAAAAACCATGATCACATAGCCAGTATATTTCAGAGGTCCTTGAATCCAGGTCTTTTTTGCTTCTAGTCCTTTATCCAATAACTACATCATATTGTTTCTCATAAATACACTGAGGTGTTATTTTGTTGGGTTAAGGTAAGGCTGCCATGATAAAAAAGATGATGTTCCTACTATTACTAAAGCTATAGTTTAAAATCTTTCCTTTATAGCTGGGGTCCTTAACCTTTTTTGTGCCATTGACCCCTTTAGCAGTCTGGTGAAGCCTATGAATTTCTTTGAAAAATGTTCTTAAATGTGTAACACAGAACATACAGGATCACAAAGGAAACCAATTATGTTGAAATATAATTATCAAAAGCAAGTTCATGAACCCCAGAATGAGAATTCTGTTTTCAGTAAGATACTTTTTCTCCTCAGTGCAGAAAAATCATATCAATTTTGAAATTTATTTTACCATGTTGCAAAAGTAATGCATTTTAATGAAAAAAGTGGGTTTTTTTACTCATGTGATTTGAGCATTGTGCTGTTTACTATACTACATTTAGTATTTGCTATATTTAGTACATGTAAATATATTACATATAAAATGTATACAATATACAAATATACTATACAGAAACATACTAAATATCGTACACCATATTTAATGATCAAAAGCATTTGTATTTGCTAATCTGTGTACATGCTGAGTCCTCCTTTTTAAGTAAGCTGTTTGAGTGCAATGATTGTTTATATCCCTGGAGTTTAACACAGTGCCTCATGGAGCATTTTGCTGTTGTTTTTCTTGGCAAAGATACTGGAGTGGTTGGTCATTTCCTTTTGTAGTAGATTAGGCAAACAGAGGTTAAATGACTTGCCCAGGGTCATAAAGCTAGTGAGTGTCTGAGGCTAGATTTGAATTCAAGTATTCCTGACTCCAAGCCCAGTGCTCTTATCCACTGTATCATCTAGCTGCCTCATATAGGATATAGCATGTGCTTAATAGGTTCAAATCTCTGCCAGGAAAACTCCAAATAGGGTCACAAAGAGTCAGACATGATTGAACAATGACAAAAATGTGCTTAATAAATGCTTGTGGAATTGAAGTAGGAAAGAGGAGTGGATAGAAGGCTGGCACTAGTCAGCAAGATCTGAGTTCAAGTTCCTATTCTAAGGACACACTGGCTGTGTGACCACAGGCAAGTCACTTGACTTCTCTGGTTCTGAGCTTCTATATTTGTAAAATGATGGGTTTGGACTAGATCCTGATGTGTGTGTGTGTGTGTGTGTGTGTGTGTGTGTGTGTATGTAAGAATGCGTCTAAAGGTGTTGCAGTGGATAGGGTACTGGCCCTGGCTTTGGGAGGACCTGAGTTCAAATTCGGCCTCAGATACATAACACTTACTAGTTGTGTGACCCTAGGCAAGTCACTTAACCCCATTGCCTAGCTAAAAAAAAGAAAAAAAGAAAGAAAAAAAGAATGCATCTAAACCTAAGACACTTTTCACAAAATTAGAATAGCTGCTGATTTGCTTTATCATAAGGTGGTTTACATGCAGGAAATTCCCTAACATTAATTAAAGGTACAATTAGGAGAACCAAAATAAACATCTCAAATTGCCTTTTACAGTACATTTATATAATACAAATATTTAATATAATTTATATAGTACAATTCTATAATAAATAATACAGTACAGTAAAAACCTATTTTGAAGAAAAGAAAAACCCAGTTCCCTAAGGAAACTGGACAGCAATGTGCCAATTAAACAGCAGATTTTTAAAAGGCAGAAATTGCCAGTGACATTATTCTTAAATATTTATCAAAATACAGTATATTATACAGCATATATGTATAGGACATATGCTGTGTGCATGCATACAAACTGTATCATTATTAATCTATATTATAGCTTTATAAATAACAGTATATTATCCACTGCATACAGCACATAGTGTATCTTTATCAATAATACAGTATATCTTTATCAACAACACATCATACAATTTATATTTACATACTGTATCTTTATCAGTAATACATTATATATTTACCGATACAGTATAATATATACAGCACTATATATTACATAATATATACAGCAAGATATATTACACACTACCCAATGAAATATATTGTATATACACTACATTGTATATTATTGATGAAGAATATATAATGATATACAGTATATATCTACAGAGAAAAATTTCAGGCTTTTAAAGCTCCACACCTGAGGACTGAGAAGCTCAAATTACACGGACACTTGATAAGTATCAGAGTGGGGAAACTTGAACTCAGTTCCCTTGCTGGGCACCACCAGTGGCATCAGCCTGCAGAGCCAGCCACGATGTTTGGGGTGAATCACAAGCCTTTGTACGGAAGGGCAGTGGGCAAAGATGCAGTTGAGGGTTTTCCCCACCCCCACCTTCCCCTCCTGATTATTTTCCCTGTAGAGGTTCAAAGTATACTCTGGAAAATGTAAAAGTAAATGATCAACAAACTAAGCCACTTCAGCTGCTATCTTTGCAGAAGATCTCACGCTCAGCCTTCGACCTTAACTCCCCTTCCCTTCCTCTCTTTCTCCTCGCAGCCACCACAAGGGCTAAACTGAAGCGCCTCAGCCGACAGCTCGAAGCACAAGACAATTATATAGCCCAACGGGCGGCGAGGTTATTGACCAATAACAATCCGACCTCACCACAGGGTAGGAGGCGGGGCTAATTGCCTTCCTCATTCAAATAAAAAACCGGGAGATTTGCATGGCGAACCAACGGCCGATTTTCCCATTGGCTGGGAGCTCGAGGGGGCGTGGCCAAGAGCCGGGGGGGAACGAGCCCCTCCTCCTTTCATTTGCATAACGGCCCCCCGCGCGTGCAGGGGAGAAGCGGGTTTGTTTTTGAATCTGCGGAGGCGGTGGCAGCAGCGGCGGCAGGCGGCGCAGGGAGGGGAGTGTGCGCGAGACTGAGGTGACGAGTTTGAGAGACGCCAGTGCGGGGCGGACTGCAGGAAGGAGCTTGGCTCTCCCTGCCGCATCTCCAGCCCCAAAAGGTATATATGGACCCTACGGGCTGTTATAACCATAGTTTTCTTAAATTACTATTGTAGTTCGCAAGGCTTCCCGCATTATGGCGGTCGCTGATGGAGTGTTTGCGCTTGCGCGGTTGCGGAGCTGCGGGCGGCGCTGCATGGGAGCACGTGATCCTGCGGGGTCCGGTTGTAGCTGCAATTGTGCAGCTGCTAGGGCGGTGGCTGCGCAAGCGCAATGTTCATTTTCAAGAGGTAGTGGGTTGTTTTTTTTTCTGGACGCCATTAGGTTCTAGATTTTTTTTTAAACCTGCTTTACTGAGGCATTGTCTTTCTATGTCTTGATGACTTTGGAGAAATGAGGAACTATTTTGAGGTCATTCATTTTAAAGAGAATGTTTTTACTTTTTGTCTAAGGCTCTCTCTACTCCATATGATTTTCCTTTTCCCTCCCCAGTTCTTTAGAAACAATGAAGCTGACTTGTAAAATACAGCACACGTGGTTCTAGGTTATAGTTTAATTCTTGGATTATTACTGAATTTAAATTTCTTTTAAAAACGTTCTTCAGTATTCATTATAGGAAGTTTTAATGGGATGAGTTCAAGAAAATAGTTATGCATGTTGTAAAAGTAGTAGTTTTTGTTTTTTTTAAATAAACTTGACGTGAGAATTTTGCAAGTGTTTAATCATGCCTGTAAGTGGCATTTTCTGAATATGAAGGCTTTCTTCTGGAAATATGAAAAAAGAAAATATAATTTTAAGAAAATATTGTTAAAATATTGTTTTAAAGGATTTTTTCCTGAGTTTTCCAGATTTATATAGTTTTAAATGACTGAAGTTTTCATTTTAATTTGAGTGCCTTTGAAATTACATTTGATCATTTCTGTCTTTTGGTTATCTTGTATTTTATGTAACATTTTTACTGTTTACCCATAGTTAATGCCAAAAGAAATTTTTATTTTATCACTTTACATTGTTAAGTGTTAACAATTTTGTTTTGTTCTGATAAGTATCAGTGGGCCTATTTGTTTTGTAAACTTTAACTCTATACATACACACACACACACACACACACACACACACACACACACACAAACATTTGGTAGGGCCTCTAATAAGAAAGTACAGTGTGAACATCAGATGTTATAGAAATCAGATTTAGAGCTCGAATGTACCTTAGCAGTCATCTCCTCTTTTTATTGTTGAGGAAATTGTTGACCCAGAAAGGTTAAATGACTTACCCAAGGTCACACAGTAAAAGGCAGAATTTGCACCTCAGTCACGGACTCCAGGATTCTTTCCAGCATAACTACTGGGCTACATCCCAATAGATTTTTTAATACTTTTACATATAAACAGCTTAAAGAAACAAGCATTGAGATATATTTGTAAATATAGTGTGGATTATTTTAGATTAGATAGTGTTATAATGTGATTTATAACAGCATTGTTATAATGAACTGTCACTGGAGTGACATTATTCTCCCAGATTGTGGAAAACTAATTAATCTTAGATATTTTGAGTAATTCTGAATCTTGTAAACAAATTTAAAATAAAACTATCCAATTAATATGCAGAGACTTATGTTTGTATCAGGTTGGTGTTAAATAAGGAAGTAGTATATCAAAACTGATGTTTCTTTATTTTTAATATGGAGATAACAATATTTAAATTTTTCTTAGTGTTGTGAGAACCAAATGAGGTAATACAAGTAAACCCATATATAATGTGTCAATTATTATATATAATGATTTTCTAGAAAAACAAGTGATTTAAAATGTAAATATTTTAGGAGAGTTAAATATATTTGAAACAATTGCATATTAGATTAATGTTGAAATTAATTGATTTTAAAGTGCACAAAAATTTAAATTTGAAATATGTAAGGAGTATATGCTTAAAAGTATTTGATATGTAAAAGCCATACACATTTTTTCATTTTTGTTTGAATAAGAAAAATAATTTTATATAAATTTTAACAATTAAAAGAGATTGTTCTTGTAGTAAATTTTGTTGTCTCACTATGTAGTCAGCCTTGGCTTGTGAAGCCCTTCACAACATTGCACCTACTGATCTTTCCAGCCTCACTATGCATCACAACCTTTCTTTCCTTCACTCTCTGCTCTAGCCAGACTGACTTCTTGTTGTTCCTCACACGCTGCACTCCATCTCTCTTCCTTTTTGTGCTGTGTCTCCCATGCCTGGAATGATCTTCCTCCTCAGCTTTCCCCTTAGAATCTTTTTTTATGTCTTTCAAGGCTCAGCTCAAACATTTTATAGGAAGCGTTTCCTGATCTCTCCTGCTGTTAACTGCCTTCCTTCCCTAAAGTACTTTGCCTTTATTTGTATATATTTAGATATGTACTCTGCCTCTCCTGTCAGTCTTTTCCCTCCCTCCCCTCCCTTAGATCCTTGAGAGCAGGACTGTTTGATTTTTGCCCTTGTTTGTAGTGGGGCATAACACTATGTGAAAGGGAGTAGCAGTGAGGTAAGATAGAGTGAAACCAGATTATAGAGGGTCTTCAAAGACTGGGAATCTGGAATTTATAAATGTAAGTGGCACTTTAGTGTATATAGTTGGTGTGCTCAGTAAATACATGTGTATTGCTATCTTTTCAGTAGATTGGGATGTTCTTTTCCTTAATGCTTAGCTTGCCTAAATGGAATTTCATTTTAATTACAGAGTTTATAAAGCAGCCCTTTGTAGTGTAAAGAGCACTACTTTACCAGTCAGGAGATTCAAAAAACCAACTCTGCTTTGAGTTGGTATGACCTTAGACAAGTCACTTCACCTCTATGTATCTCAGTTTCTCCATTTGTAAAATGAGAAGATTTAACTAGATAATCTCTAAAGCCTCTTTCCATAGCTCTGAAATATATTCTCTATCTCTAAAATTTAATGTCTGTCATTCTTTGTATCATTTTATTCTTTTAATCATCCCTTCTCCTCCTAGATCTAGATTTTTATAACTCTGCTTTCCATTTTCCTCCTACCCCTCTGACTACTTTGCTGATTTGCCCTGACCCCAACTGTAGGTATACCCCAAGATTTTCCCTGGACTCCCTTGTTTTCTTCCTCTACCCTCTCTCATCATTTCTTGTGTGTGCTGTTACCTCTATGCAAAAGATTCCCAGATCATATGCAGGATTACTCTCTCTAGTCCTGGACATTACCAGTTGTTTTTTGGATGTTTCCTACTGGTTGTCCTTTAGGCATCTCATATGTCCAGTTTTCTTTTCTGTCAAACCCATCCCACTTTCTTATGTTTGCTATATTTCTTGAGGATATCACCATTCCTTTAGTCAATCAATTTTGAAACCTCTGATTCATCCTCAACTCTTCACTCTCCCTAGCTCCTATATTCAGTCATTTGTCAAGTTTTGTAGATTTTTTTCTCTAACATCTCACATCCATCCCCTACTCTTCACTTGAACAGTCATTACCTGACACCCCCCCCCAAGTCTTTTACCTGGACTGTTATAGGAGCCTTCTAGCTGACTTCTCACTTCACCAGTCCATCTTCCACACAGTTGCCAAAATAATATTCCTAAAGCCCATATGAAAGCTCTTAAAAATGCTTGGTTGATTGATTGATGTTTGTTAAATAAGGAAGAGAGGTCATAGGAAACAAAAGAGATCATTGGAGACTGGTAGACCAGGAATGGAGGAGGTAGAACTTGACTTTCATTGATAGATGGAATTAGAATAGGTAAAAGGGAGTACAAGAACACTTTCATATCAGGGATAGCCACTGCAAAGCCATAGAGATGAGAGATGGAGCATTGTCTCATAGGAACAGCTGTGTGGCTGGACTGCATAGTTCAAGGAAGGAAGTACTGTGTAAGAAGACAAGAAAGATAGGAAGGGGCCAAATTGTTAAGAGCTTTAAATAGATGTTAAACTGAGGAATTTATATTTGATCCTGGAGATAACAGGAAGCCATTGAAATTTGAATGGGGTGGGGGGGAATAACAGCAATTGAGGAAGTCAACTTTTGCTGGCAGTAGAGAAGGACTTGAGGCAAAGAGACCCAAAAGGAGGTATTGCAGTAGTTCAGGATAGTGATGATGAAAACTGATTGGGGGGCTGCTGTCTTAATGGAGAGACTGGGGCATTTACAAGGGATGTTGTGGAGACAGAAACAACAAGACTTGGCAACTACTGAGTATATATAGAGTGAGACTGAGGAGTGGAGGATGGCATTGGGTTGGTGAATCTGGGTGTCTAGAAGAATGGTAGTTTCTTCAACAGTAATAAGATTTTGAGGGAAAGATGTTGAATTTTAATTTGAATTTATGGAGTTTGACATTTCCATGGGACTAGACATCTAGTTTGAAATGTTTAATAGGCAGTAAGGCTAGAAATAGATATCTGGGATTTATCTGCATACATTTGATAGTTGCATTTTGGAAGCTGATGAAGTCATCAGTCAGTAAGCATTTAAGTGCCTACTATGTGTCTGGCACTAGCCTGGACAGAGCTTTGGAGTACAGCCACAGTTAATGGGTATGGGTAAGAGAGTTCAGACAGGTAAGAGGGAAAACCAAGAGTACTGTCATGAAAATACAGAGAGAATAAAGTACTCAGGAAGCCAAAAAGGAAGACCTGGGCTCAAGTTA